CGATTCCCGAGGAACATGAGAAGACGGCGATGGATTGGCTGAAGCCAGCTCTCTCGAGAATCGCGCGCAAAACGCCGGCAATGGTCGTTGAAGAGGCACATGATTCCATAGCCAGCGATGTCGAATACAACTCAGTCATTCGGCAGGAGTACGCAAATACGGTCAGCATGGTTTCACCCTTAGAGGACATCCACTGAGTATAGTTGCTAGGTATTGTCAAAACACCGCACTTTGCTCAACCAATACATTCCGCTACGGTCAAGTGAAATCAAGTATCTTTCTTCCGGGCAGATCATTTTCATCTTGACGATGCACGATATAGAAAGCATGCGCTCTGCAACAGGACGAACATCATCACTCGTATCATACTTTATAAACGACAGTTTGAACCGGAATACGAATCTATCCGTCTGCATGGAATCAATCGCAGAAAAAGTCTGCACGTTTGCCTTGCCGTTGTCGTTCTATTCACTGATTTTTACAGGTGATGCGCGGATGTATCAACGACCTCAATCGTCAGGCTTCGCATCAAGCAATGCCCGACTGTCTCTCTGAAGAGCTCAGAGCACTGCTTATCGGAAGCACACACCGTGTTGCTCAAGCTCGCGATGCTGCCTCGAAATACATTCATCGATTAGTCACTTCGTTCCCTTCGTTGATGTGCGATCAAGCCCTTGTCTTCGCAATCTTGGAGATTTTGACGCTTTTGCAACGCGGATGTGAGAACGAATTCATCGACGAGGTTAGCCCTCCGTTATGATCATGCGAGTATATCTAACTATTTTATCAGTACAATCCTGTCTGGGAGTATCACTCTGATAGAGTTGACATCACTCTGCAATTAACTGATAGTTACGAGGTCCGAAACGATATTCTCGGCCAAGTTCTAAGAAACGCCAACCATTGGTTTGATCTGGCGCTTGGTCGTGCTCCATCCGAAATGCATTCTATCCTCCAGGTACTATTGTTCCCGTGACCTCTATACACTACCTCAACACCTTGTCTGTAGAGATATCTTGCGACAAACAAGCCCTCCAGTGGTCCTTTTGCCGAGTTGGGTGCCACTGTCGCCGAAACTTACGCCCGTACCATTGGCCCCGTATACAGGCAAACTGGTAGGACACTTCCTGATACGCAAGTCTCCACTGACGGATCTTTTAGTGTCGTTGATAAATCTCTCAAAGTGGAAGAGCGACGCCTCAAGGAACCTCGCCAGTCAATTGGCTAGTAAAGGCTACTTTGCTGGAGAAGCCGCAGGTCTTCGATTGGCAAATCGTCAAGGTACGTTTTTAGGGTGTGTTCACAACCTCTCTCTCTGAACTTCATGTAGTACCCGACAAACTCGAGGAACTCCCTCCTCAGCCGGCACCACCTGCTGAATTGCGGGCGTTGAAAACAAAGTTGGCTCAATCAATCCAAGAGATCCGCAACAAGAATAGCACTCTCACAATCCACGACATGAAGCGTTTACTCTTCCGATGTGCTGCGACTATCATATCCCTATCAACGGTGAGAATGCATCACCGAAAACCTGAGGCTGATCTCATTGGGTGGTTTAGTGCGACTATGATCTACTTCAACACTTGGTCTCAATCCCTTTCGAAGTAGGGACGCCCTCTGCCCTTGCAGCTGGGATTGAGGTTTGGACTTGGGTCATCGCAGAACAGCCTCGTGCAGAGGTCCCACTCATGGGAGAGCTCCTTGCTGCCTGGTCGGATACCATCAGGAACGAAAAGGGGCTGTTTTCGACAAGCCTGAAGTGAGTCTGGTGCCGACTTATTTTTTTTTCAAGGGCTCACCATTTGTAGTTACGATGACCCCTTCTACCATCCAATTGATTATAGTCCAACGGATAAAGAAGTCATCGACCGGAATCTCAGCCACGCTCGTCGGATGTTAATACCTCATAGTTTGGTGATACAGATGCTGTTCAGCCGACTCCAAGCCTCACGGTACCACCGACCGGGCATGATGACGTTGATACAACATATTGTTCTTCGTACATGCAGAGCACATACTTCCCTTAGGTGAGTCTACTTATTCGGATTCGGTACGACCTACATCTACCTCGCAGTACACACGCTCTTGCGCGCGAAGCCCGTTTCTCTTTCCTGCTCTTCGGTTTTGAGACGTTGAAGAGCTCTTATCTGGATTCCTACTGTGAGAATGCTCTGCGTGATGCCATTTATACTGCGGCATATTCCTGGTTCTCTGTTCGTCCACAGTATGTCGTCTCTGGCTTGGATGTGAGCCCATTCTGACAAATAGCACAGATGGTCATTTGGAGCGAACCGTGTGCAACTCGATGCAGACATCAAAGTCGTTTCTGAGTTCCTATCTTACCTTCAAAATGATGCCATCCGAACACTACCCTCGATATCGAGTTTAGCGCCCTCGCAATTTGCGAATCGACAGTCATGTACGTTCGCTTAATCCCCTCCTTGGTTGTAGCTTTTTATCGTGTTCACAGTCTATTCCGAGCGCCTTCGCTCAATCATACCAGCATTGCGCTTACTTGTCGATAATGAGCTATCACGCCTAACAGTGTGGCGCAACCCCGCAAATGAGGCAAAGCGTGGAGGCGACCACGCAGGAACGATGTACGCTGAGGCAAGTATTTGTACTTTATTCAAAGTTGCGCCTGAACTGACCTAACGATCACCAGACGTCTTGGCCCAGCTTGATACGAACGATGTGGCAAATCAACCCTGCTATTGCAATTCATGTAACCGAACGCGTCAAACAGCCTTTGATTCGGCTTGAAGTTGGGAAGCTGGTGAGGTCGAGCTCCCTCGATGTCGTTGACATCCCAGAAGCCCTCCCTTTCCTGCTCGGTGAAAGGGTGGATGGCACTGTTCGTAGGGATTTCAAGGTAAAGCCTTTTCTTCCTACTCATTCATGTCCATGTAAACCCTTCCTTCCAGTATCTCCTTCTCTGGGCTCCTGTGCCACCAGTTGCAGCGATCACCCTCTTCGAGCGGCGGTATCAAAACGATCCCTTGATTTTGCAATATGCGCATAGAGCTCTTGAGCAACACCCCGTAGAGTTGACTTTCTTCTTCGTTCCGCAAGTTGTTCAGGCCCTGCGAAACGATGAGCTTGGTGGGTTATTTTGCCTCCATGAGCGTCCGGATGATTCACTATTGGTTGACAGAATACGTCGCTCGCTTCATCTTTGAGACGGCTAAAATATCCCAGTTATTCTGCCATCAAATTATCTGGAATATGAAGGCAAATTGTTACAAGGATGATGCAGCCGAGGTTGTGAGTGATAGGCATTTCCCAAATTCTGAAGACGTCTCACCGCCATTCCAGGAGGATCCCATGAAACCGGCGCTGGACGAAATGACTGACAGAGTGGTGAATTCATTGTCCGGAGAAGCTCGAAGCTTCTATGACCGGGAGTTTTCTTTCTTCCACGAAGTCACCTCGATATCAGGAAAACTCAAGCCCTACATCAAGAAGTCCAAGCCAGAGAAGAAGGTGAATTTCACAGCCGCCCACTTTTTCTGATCTTCACACTTTATTTCCAGGCAAAGATTGACGAGGAAATGGCTAAGATCACAGTGGACGTTGGAGTCTACTTGCCCAGCAATCCCGATGGTATCGTTGTTGATATCGACAAGAAATCCGGTCGTCCACTGCAGAGTCATGCAAAGGTATAAGATTTCGCTCCCCGCTCTCTCGCGTCTCACTCTCCTGCAGGCCCCATTCATGGCCACGTTCAAAGTTCGAAAAGAGCATATCGTTGTTGACACAGACCCAGATTCATTGCTTGACGCTGACGGTGGTGGTGTTGAGACCCGTGAGAAATCTGACGTCTGGCAGCAAGCCATCTTCAAGGTCGGGGATGACTGCCGCCAGGATGTCTTGGCTCTACAAGTCATCGCTATGTTCAAGAACATATACACAAGCATTGGCCTCACCCTCTATCTATTCCCTTATCGTGTCACGGCTACAGCACCTGGGGTATGCTTCGTCGTTGACTGGCGAGTATACGCTAAACAGCATCTTCTAGTGCGGTGTCATCGACGTCGTTCCCAATGCAACCTCACGAGACGAAATGGGACGTGCAAAGGTCAACGATTTGCTCGACTTTTTCGTGGCCAGATATGGTGGAGAGGATACTGTCGCCTTCCAACAGGCCAGACTAAACTTCATTCAATCCATGGCTGCATACTCCGTAGCATGTTATATCCTACAAATTAAGGACAGACACAACGGAAACATCATGATCGATGGAGATGGTCATATTGTTCATATTGGTTTGAGTTATTTTGCTCTTCACCTGAGTAGTTGCTAAACTATCTACCCAGATTTCGGATTCTTGTTTGACATAGATAAGTGATATTTAAACACACCTTCGTTCGAGGAACTGATGATCCAGTCCTTTCTTTACGTCCAGGTGTGAGTACGCTTCTAGCAACCATGCACACTCCCTACTGACTTGGCCGTAGGGTGTGAAATTTGAGCCCAGCTCCTTCAAACTCAATCACGAGATGGTGGTCTTGATGGGTGGTCGATATTCGCAAGGCTATCAGCTCTTCCAGAGTCTCACTATTAAAGCCTTCCTGGCCCTACGACCTCACGCAGAGCAGCTGATTAGCACCGTACAACTTATGCTCGGCACTGGATTACCTTCCTTCAAGGGGGAGCCTACCATCAAGAGGCTGCGAGATCGATTTGCACTCGGCCTCACTGAACGCCAAGCTGCAGAATACATCGTGGGTGTCATCCGCAACGCTCATGAAAACGTTCGAAGCACTGCCTATGACGAGTTCCAAAGGGTGAGCTATCTTTCCGTTCTGGAAAATGGCAGAAACTGATTCCAAACATTTTAGCTCCAAAACGGTAAGGTATCCGATAAAACTGTTGGCCAGTCTAACGAATACACGCAGGCATCCCGTATAACTAGTAGAACTAATTTTAGTACTTTCATTGTCCTTTTACTTTCAATGGACCTAGTAACCATATAAGTCAGGGGTGACCAAGTCTGCCAAGGCACTATAGCCAAGTGGTTACGGCGACAGATTCGAACGAAAGCATCTGTTCCTCTTTGAGGGCGCAGGTTCAAATCCTGCTGGTGTCGTTTTGGATCATTTGTGCTTTTTTTTTTACGCCTGTCCGGACATCCGATCGCGATTAATCTGCGGCTATAACGTGCTTAGGGCACTATAGCCAAGTGGTTACGGCGACAGATTTGAATCTTCATGATATCTGTTCCTCTTTGAGGGCGCAGGTTCGAACCCTGCTGGTGTCGATGACGTCTTTTTCGATGGGAGGTGAATGTACAGTATCATGTTCGACGAACACAAGGACCAATGCTGGTAATCTAAACCTCTACCTTCATGTCAGAAAGCCTTCCACCTTCAGCACTCTTCTCCCACAGCCTTGCGAAGGCATCACAGGCGTACAACTTGCCTACGATAGACGATGAAACGCAGGTAAGCATGTCGCGTTGGATGATCTGCTTTCTCATGCAGGCACACGATCATAGGGACTGATTCGATCGAGCTTGAACGATTTAAAAACTCTTCAAAATCGAATTCTTGGTCTTTCCCTGTTCAGCCCAAACGAGTCACTCGAGGACATATCCACCCGCAATCTCGTGTTTCTTTCCGTGCCATATGTTGCGGGAGAACTTCAAAATCGATTGAAGGCGACCGAGAGGCCACGAAGGTTGTTGGTTTTAGATCAATCTCGGGTGCGCGACCCTCGGCGAGTACCTGCTGCATTTTATCTGATTGGTACAATCTGGCATCCAGAAATTGTATCAGGCCTTCGTTTCGACGTTAGGGCAATACAACATCGTTCCGGCGGATGAAAGGGAGTTGCACGAAAAGAGTCCTACTAGTATTGTTGCGCCTGGAAAGAGGAGAGAACTCAAGATAAAGCAATATCAGAAGGAGAAGGAACTTCGGACCAAGATTGAAGTTAGTTCTCCTTTTTCACTTTGACGCAATTAAGCGGTTGAGTGCTCTCCAATCTAGGTTGTACAGAAACGTCGAGGCCAAAAGCCCGATGATTCTGGGAGCTCAGATTATGACCTTATATCTTCCTTACTTCCATCTACTCAATCAACTACATCTTCGGCAGAGGTCGAAGATGATGAGGAAGATTCTCGAACTGATGAGATTTTGCGGGAAGCAACGGTCTTACTCCTGCGTATGCTGTACGGCCAAGCACAAGGGCATTTGGAAAGTCTACGCCAGGAAGAAGAGCTACTGAAGCTAGCACCACCCGCCCCTGAAGATTTACCTGTTCCAGAGGACAGTCGAACGCGTGAACAACAAACCCAGGAGGATATGTGGAGGCTAGATCCACCCATTGCAAGTGGGGGTCCGGATGGCAAGGGTCCCTTGATGGATTCAAGTGGGAAGGTAAGCCTGTCGGAAGCGTACATATTCAGAGCTCAAATTCGGCGCCAATAGCCATTACGACCGTTCACCATCTTATCATCTGAAGCTGCAGCTCGGTCACGTCTCCAAGCGCAAGTGTTCAGGCCGGACCACAATCTCCCAACAATGACCATCGACGAGTACTTGGACATCGAGAAACAGAGGGGCAACATTCTCACCGGAGGCGGGTACGTGGCGATAATGCAAACGAGACTTCGGACTAACATCTCGAACATGTAGTCCCGCTTCGCAGAACGCTCCGACTTCCAAAGAGCAACTTGCAATAGAAGCGGAGATGGAGGGGACAACGAAAGGGGAGGAGAAATCTGAGCAGAAACGTCAGCAGGAGGAGAAGTGGGCACAGTACACAGATGCCAACGCTCGAGGGGCTGGAAACACCATGAACAGAGGGTAGGGCGCATAAGTATCCGTGCAGTATAGTTCTATAGCTATTAAATCCATTTGGTGAGTAAAGGCACCTGTACTTGGTATATATGTGACAACATAGAAAACATGGGATGCGTAGAGCAGTACCTCAGCAGTTGCACTGCGATGCCTCTGGTACTTCGCTGGCGGGTTGTGTGGTAACGTCGATTTCTGGAAACATCTATTAGCAAGCGATAATGGCGCAGGACAACCGCAATCTATACTTGTGTTGGCGTCTCCCTGTCCCTCTTTCTCCATCCCAGGTAGTGACATGGCGATCTTCTTGAACAAACTTTTGACATTATGACCTGCTTTCGCTGATGTTTCCATGAACATAATGTTCATTTGTGTCGACTTCGCCGTTGCCTCCTCTAGGGTCACTTGCCTACCATGAGAGTAAACATCAAGAAATAGGGCATATATGTGGACGAGACTCACCGTTTATCCGACAGATCGGCTTTGTTGCCCACAAGTACAATGATGACATCGTTTCCCCGCTCAGAACGTACATCGTCTATCCACTTGGTCGTTGAAAGGAACGACTGTCGATCTGAACCGGCATGAGCTGGAAATCACGAGGACTGCGCATCGAACTGACTTGTGATGTCAAATACGACGATGGCCACCGAAGAGTCCCGTATATACGAGGGAATTAGTGACCGAAATCGTTCCTACGACTGAGCTTAGTTTAAATCATCTGCCTCTGGGGGAAATGATGCACACCTGACCAGCCGTATCCCATAACTGCAATCTGACCGTCCGGTCCTCAAGATACATAGTCTTGCTCAGGAAATCAATGCCGATGGTTGCTTGGTATGTATTATCAAACGTGTCGTACATGAATCTGTGGGCAGAATAGGTGTCATATAATTAAGCCTATGATATTCCAGGCCACAGCTCCAACTTGAGAACACACCGAGTAATCAGACTTGTCTTTCCAACGCTTTGATCGCCCAGCAGGACGATCTTGGTACGCTTTGGAGGCGCAGAAGAAAAGTCTGCGGATACCGGTGTTGTTGGTGCGTCCATGAGTGCTTGCGTGTCAGGGAGAGGAAGGGAAAGTACTACGGTGGTGTGCAGTGATTCGCTGCCAGTGCCAAGGCGCAACCTTGATCCATTCTAAAGTCACGCCTCTGTGACACATCGTGACCTTTGATTGCCGGCGGTAAATCGAATCGCGTCTGGTGATTGGGCGCTTTGCCATTCGTCAACTTCACCTGTCTTCCACCCCTTTTGTTCAAACATGAAATTGACCCAGAGCATCGCCGGACGTGACCCAAGACGGCCTTTCTACACCTTTGAGTTCTTCCCACCTCGTACAGATCAGGTGTGTTCAGATCGGAACCATGGTCCTGTATCATGATTCAAGTTCCCGGAGAAAGGGTTTCGAGAACCTGCTGCCCCGAATTGCGCGACTAGCAGAACTCCAGCCCCTTGCAATCAGTATAACATGGGGCGCCGGAGGAACTACAAAAGAGCGCACTCTTGAACTTGCGGGTGTAACACAAGCCGGATACGGACTGGATTCGATTCTTCATTTAACATGTACGAACATGGAGCAGGGTATGGTGGATGATGCGTTGAAGGTATGCCTATGCGTCTTGAGGAATTTATACCTTTAAATTCCCTGCAGCTCGCCAAAGATAGAGGTGTTCAGAATATTCTGGCACTTCGTGGTGGTGAGGCCATTAATATCGCTTTCTTGTCCTGCCTTACACTCAGTCCAAGACCCACCTAGGGGATCAGAAGAGTGGATAGCAACAGATTCTCGGTTCCAAAATGCCAAAGATCTCGTATCCTACATCCGTTCCTCGCCTGAGCACTCTTCACAGTTTTGCGTAGGGGTTGCGGGTGTGTTTGATCGAAAGTCAGCGCGGATTTAGCTGACATATCTTCGAAGGATATCCCGATGGGCATGCCGAGAGCCTGGTTGACGAAGATACAGAGATAGAGTATCTCAAGCAGAAAGTGGATGCTGGTGCTGACTTCATCATCACTCAACTATTTTACGATGTCGACCGATTCTTGGTTTGGTTGAAGAAGGTTCGAGCCAAGGGTACGCTCTCGTCGTTTGCTTAAGAATTTGTCGCTCAGTTCAACTTGCAGGCATCACCGTTCCTGTGATACCTGGTGTTATGCCCATCCAAACGTATTCCTCGTTTCTCCGTTTGGTCAAATTATGCGGTGTCAGGGTACCACCAAAGGTCATGGAGGACCTGCAGCCTATCAGCGTGCGCTCTCTCATACCAACATCTAGCACATTTATTGAAACCATGTCCATCAGCACGATGACCAACTTATCAAAAACTACGGCGTAAGTTTGGCGGTCGAAATGATTTCGCGTATGGTGGGGGAAGGTGCGGTATCTGGTGTTCATTTCTGCACTTTGAACCTCGAGAAGAGTGTCTCGCGTATTCTGGAAAATCTTGGCTGGACAGGGATATTTGCTCAGCTTCATAACAAACTTATCGCAGTATGTTCCTTTATTTCACGCATTTCTGGTTGCTCATTTGGGTTAGGGACCACGCGAATTTCGCCTACAACCTCCGCCTAATCATACGGTTTCGGAATTCCTTGTGACTCCGGCTACGGCGACGAATAATGCCACCTACGGTCTTGTAAACATTCCGAGCAACGAATACGAAGCAGGCAAGGGTGAACTTAATAACGCTGCATCGTGGGACGACTTCCCGAATGGTCGCTTTGGAGATTTCAAAAGTCCTGCATATGGTGATCAAGCACCCTACGGCGGGCCGGGCATCCTGGTATGTCGATGTCGTCGAGTGCTTTCGTAAATTAAGCCCTTGACAAGGCATCTGCGCCTGCGAAACAATGGGGAAACCCAAAGACCCTTGAAGATCTAACGAACATGTTCCTTGATTACCTCCACTCCAAGATAGCGACAACACCCTTCTCGCAAGCCCCTCTATCCCCGGAATCTGTCGTGGTTCTATCTCATCTCGAGAAATTGACTCGCCGTGGCTGGTGGACAGTTGGCTCGCAACCTGCCATCGATGCTGCACGATCTGATGATCCGGTGGTTGGCTGGGGTCCTCGTGCAGGCCGTGTATTCCAGAAGGGATTTGTTGAATTCTTCTGCAAGGCGGAGGATATTGCACTCTTAGCCAGGAAAATGGAGAAGGCGGGGCACGATTGGACTCATTGGTTTGCTGGTAACCATGCGGTCAGTGTGAATCACTCTCGCTGAGTGTGCACTATATACAAACGGTTGACACAGGGCGATTTCCGAACTAATGTTCCTGAAGGTGGAAGAAACGCTGTGACATGGGGCGTCTTTCCTGGACAGGAGATTGTGCAAACCACAATTATTGAGAAGGAGTCGTTCCTTGCGTGGAAGGTATGCGGCTTAGTCCCGCTTCATCGAATTGTGCTGACCCTGAAAACAGGAAGAGGCGTTCTCCATCTGGTCAGACTG